GAGTCAGGGTTTAAATTAACAACCCACGTCATCCCCCTGACCCAAGCTCTCCGGATGGCGACAGAGAGACGCCTCTTTCTTCCCGCGACACCCAAAGGGTATAAGCGGCGGGTAAAAGTAACAGTAAAAGTAAACGTTTTTGTTTTTTATTTCTTTGAGTTTATGACGAGAACTGTCTTGCTGCTGTTCTCTTTACTACTTTCACAATTTTAGATGAGATCCACGAACTTGAGACAGCTCTAATTGATTGTTTTCCCGCAATGTGTGTATTCCAGAGATCTACTTAACCGGCGTGATGTGCATGGGTACGGTGGCCACCCTCCTCACTGCCGGGACGGTCACGATGTACAGCCGACCAGAGGACGACCCCGTGCCGCGCTGGGTCATCTCTACGTGTGACAAGGTCTTCAGACCCTTCGCCTGCAAGACCAAGGCCTCCTCCTCCTCCTCCTCAGATCCTCGCAATAAACCTACATCAAGCAACTCCGAAATCACGAGAAATTCGAACGGTCAGTTCGATGCTCGAAACACGAACAACACATATTCTAACCTCCACAACTCTGTTGATTGTGGGAGACATTCTCCTTCAGACGGTTCCGCGACTTCCATTGGTTCCAGTGGCCGTGGCGCGTCTCGTCAGTATATTAATAACGCTGATCGCCGGGACAGAAAGTATAATGATTTGTCGGAGGACGCTGTACATTTCACGGAGACTGGTGTCACTAGCGGTCATCTCGGAGAGAGACCAGGGCGCGAGGGAGGCGGGGTCATGACCACCACTACGTGGAAGGACGTGGCTCACCTGGTGGACGCCGTGTGTCTCAGGGTCATCAGTCTGACCATCCTGGTGGGAACGTGTTCCCTCGTCCTCTTCTACACCATCTCCTACTAAAAATACAAATCAACAAAAGATAACAAAAAAATACCCAACCAACTCAGGAATGTGAACTACAATCCCAACACAAGAAGAAGACCCTGATGGAATTTAATATGAATGACATATATTCATATTATCTTTGTGAATGTGTTATTGAATAAGCAACATTTGGGAAACAGACAATATACTTCATACATTAAAAATTGTGAATACATTCCACATATTAAAATGTGTTAATGTATATTCCACACACATTTCTGAATACATCCTACACATACAGGCGAATACATTATATGTGAGGCAGCGTGGTGGAATCAGGCTCTCGTCAATTTTTGAGCCTGTAGAGTTATTGGTGTCTATTAAAGCTTGTTCACTTGTTTTTATTTGGATGAAAAAAATGTCCATTTATCTTGAATACAAGTCGAGATATTTGCGAATGAAGGAGGTGGGGGTCACCTGTTTTCAGAGGTAAAATTAGTGAGAAAATGGCCGCCAAAGATTAGTTATTTCCTTAGTTTAAGAGTCCATGGTAACTGAAAATTTACATTTTTTGTGCATTTAATTAACGTTTTTCAGAAAAAATCCACACAGAAATGAGTTCTTTAATGAGTCTGAAAGGTGTTGGGCCAAAAAACATAAATTTGATAAAAATTCACAAACCTGCGGAAAAATGCGCGTTTCTTCACTTTGAATATTTTGACGAGAGCCTGATTCCACCACGCTGCCTCACAAATACATTTTTAATGTATCTCGTTCACTTGAGTATATTATTATACATTATTTTCAAAACATGTAAGTAGATCTTTATTATTTATTATGGGCATGTGTGTATGTGTGTGTCTGTGGGTGTGTGTTTGTGTGTGTTGGTACGTGCGTGCATGCTTGCGTGCGTATACGTGTATTTGAGAGCGTGTGCGTGTGTGCGTGTGTGCGTGTGTGTTTGTGGTAATATATTATAAATAATTCGCGTAACCAACAGAAGGACAAAGGAAAAGAGAAGTACATTCATCCGACAGAGCAAGAGGAAGACCAAGAAAGAAGAAGATGGATCAACGGAGTCAAAGAGACCCTCCAAAGAAACAACACGACAGTCCAAAAGGCGACACAACTAGCCCACGTCCGACAATTACTTCTCCCCCTGACACCTTGCGCTACAAGTAGGGGGCCACAACCACCTCA